ATATATAGTGTATGTGCCTATACGAGCATGGTAAATTTATTTAAATAATATACGCGATTTTTATAAAGCGAATCGGAGTTTTAACAGAGGTGCGGCGTCTCCAAAAGGAATCTTATGTGAAATATATTTTATTTATTTACATTCGTTTAGACTGCACCACATATTTTCAGAAACAACAAAAAATATAGACAACCATGAAGGTTCAACTTATTGGATGCCAAAGTAAGTTTTAAAGGACTGACGGAATTTTAAGCTTTGACCACTTTTAAAAATCTACGAACCTTGCTTTTTTTCATTTTAGAAATATACGGTACTTTCTAGAAAGGTATTTTCAGAAAAAAAAAAGAAAAATACTCCGTAGAAGCTTTTCACCCTGACTGTTTAAATTCAGTCGGTTTTCTATAGGGTCACGTAGGTTTCCAAACATTCCTACCTATAATATAATAATATACCTACGAAAAATATACCTAGAATACGGTTTAGCCGAAAATAAGTTTTTTTTTAAATGGATCGTAATAAATAAATTGAAGAATCTCTGAGCCGGTAGCAGGAATATCGTTAACTTACGATGAAGGAACAAGAATCGTCCACAGCACTCAACTAAATGGCAGCTCATATCAATCGCATGGTGAGAAAAGTCTCCAAGGAGCTTTTTCAAACAACGCAGTGTCTCGCTCATTGGAAGAACTCGGAATTTCGTCAGCTCCGCTAAAAAGCGAACAGTTTTAACCTAAATAACCGAAAGCACAAAAACATACCATTAGGCCCATATTAGACTGACGTTCCCAATCAAAGAATCATTTCTATAACCATAGTAATAGTGCCAGTGTAAATATTAACGGAAGAATAACACAATATTGAACAATAAACATGTATCCTAGAATACCTTGGTTTCTATATTCATCTGGTCCTTCTTGCGAAGCTGATACGAGAAGTCCTTGAGCAGCAACGCGCACAGCTCCTCTCCGAGATCAACAGCGACTGGTTTAAGGATAGCTACGAGTCGCGAATACAGCGGAAGCAGGTCGAGACGGGTTCGAGGCACGAGGAAAAGCGCTCGCGTCAATTTATACCGATTTGGCCCTGTAGATTTCGAACACGAAAGATCAGCCCCACTAGCGAATGAGAACAGCTGCTAATAAATTTATATAATCAAAATAACATCACATGTGACTCGTGTTGTTCTTGTTTAACAACAAGTTCATATTGTTTTTATTAATATGATCATTATTATGGCAGTCGCCGTGTGGGCGCACTGGCAACGAGTTCGCCTATTCATATAGGGGTATGATCTCGATTCAAAACGCACTATAGATGCACTTTATTTCATACTGGAGGCCACATGTTTGAATGTCTAACGGCAATACAGGATGTAAGCAATTTGTAACATTTTTTTCATTTTGTGGTAACCGCTTAGTCCTAAGCTAGAAGTTGATCGAATAACAAAATTGAAACGCATCAAGACTTACGGGTGTTAAGGTTGAAGCAGAACTGTTCCGCCATCTGGTCGATGGTGTCTCGATTAAGACACTGAGGCAGCTGTTTGAGGAATAAGTCCAACTGCGGCTTCGTTTCAACCTGTGAAGGGCAATGTACAAAATAATGCATAATATTGATAACACGAAACATTGGCTCGGCCGAAGCTCACTAAGGGTTCGCACAGATGACAATCATCGCGTCTGCCCTATTGGCAACGCGTATGTCGCTTACCTTTCGCATCTCTTTTTCCGCTTTTTCGGCCAGATCCTCCTCAGCTTCGGCCTCACCTCCGGCGCCTTCGGGTGACGGCGATACCGATTTCTCTTCGTCTCGACCGAGTTCGTCATAGTTTTCCTAGATCGTTGTAGGTAAAATTCATAACGATTAGAATAATTCTACTGAAACAGAATTCTTCGCTGGAGGACGAATTTCCCGGAGGCAGGAAAAGAGCAGCTGAAACTTTTCAGAGTGTACGACCTACCTCCCAAGGTTTATTGCCCGAATTAAAGAGGAAACCAATTCGGTTCCATTTTCGAGACAGTTATATTCCTGCTGGATAAACGTCACATAAAAATGCTCTAGTAGTAAGCTTCTTGTTAATCTTTTGAGTTTTGACATATATTTTCTTCTTCTGCAGGACTCAGTTAATTTTGCGAAGAAAAATCCCTTAAGCCCTAATCGGGCACCAATGTCCAACGTCTCGTGGCTGGGAGCCCAGTGTGCTACCCACCTAGGCATCGTGCCAGTTGGAAAAGTTTCAGTTGTCCGTGCGCAAATTTCTCGTTGTGCACACGATAATCAAATGGTTCAATACCCACCCGATCCCTGTCTTTGTCGAGTCTTTGTCTAACCTTGTCGTCCTTAGTATTGTCCTTCAAAATTGCGGGCATAATGGCTTTTAAATCTGGAAGATGTTCGTAGAATGCCTGCGTGTCCGAATCTTCCCATAAGGATTCTTCCGACAACTCCGTCTCTATTAACACCTGTGTGTGTTATATGAATGAGAAATGAATAAAATAAACAAGATAAGATTAAATATTTAGTTGTTTCTAACTCTAGCAAATTGCGGCTTTCGTATATGAAATTAGATACGGCGATGGATTCTTGCCACAAATCAACGTGCTAAATTTCGTATCAACTCAATTTTAATCATTATGTCCGTACTAGACTAGTTAAAATAGTACAATAATATAAATATGTGTGTAACCTCTTAAGATAGTACGATCATATAGGTTTGAATACGTACTCCCTGCACGATTCCCTCGCCCTCGGGTGGTTCTTCCGGTTCGCTGAACTGTGGTGCGCTTTCTCCTAGCAATCCTGCCAGCTGCTCAAGTGAACTCGTCAATTTGACAAATGTCATCTGTCATAAGGATTGATAACGAGGCGAAGACTATTGTTTAGAAATGTCGCAAGCGCTGTGAGTTGTTGTTGTTCACTAGCTCTGATATTTTCGGCAGGAGCAGCATCTGGCTAGCCGTCTTTGCCTGTCCGCTTACTACGGGCTAATCATTTGTGGCACTAGTTATCGCTGTTGTTTATGTGATAAACACTATTTCCTAGTTAGCGCTTAGTGGTACCTGAGCATTCTCCAATTTTTCCGTCATCTCCTGCGGCGCAACCCCTTTTGATTGTACTGTGTGTTTATGTTTCTTCTGCATTTTACACAGCTCGCCATGTTCGCGAGTTGCATATCGACAAATCGACTTAAAATATTCACGCACCATCATCTGCAAAGAACAAGAGTAGCGATCAAGTTGAGCGTCGTACTAGAATACCTTTAGATTTCAAAACGTAATGTTGTTTTTGAAAAATTACGCGGGCGTCCTCTAAAGACCACACAGCGCGAAAGATATCGACACCGACACATATATTAATTAGATAGCGATTTGGTTCAGCTCACCTGAAGTAACTTTTGCTTGTCGAGAGGCACATAAATATCATTCGGTGCCCCAGGACTAAGCGCGAGAAGGTCCTCTCCGCAGCTCTTACACAATGAGATCACTGCACTTAATGACTGCTGGCTTTGATTACACATTTCCTAAAAAATGCAGTTATACATATATATATATTCGCACAGTCTTTTCAGATGGCATGGCTTTTTTCTTAGTTGAACCGAAATTTGCTCTTCTCATCACGTTTTTTTATATGCCTTACGAGCCGATGCCATTACTTACGAATAGTTTTCTTTTTGAACACATAGAATTGAATTTTAGTTCAACCTTATTCCTAATGATTCATTCATTGTACTATAATATAGAATATTTTAATTCGTTTGCAACTGATCTGCCACAATTGTACCAAACATATAACTAACTTGTAAAAAATGCTTGAGTAGTTGAAATCCTTCTTTTAACGGGAACACTCCGGCGAGGAGGAGTTCGGCACTAAGTCGGAGATCCACTCGAGCTTTGGCAGGGTTTACTGCTTGAGACGACACCGATTTCTGTATGCAGTCAAGTAACGAACTGGCAAAATCGGCGTACTCTACATGAAGTCGAGAGCACACCTGTGACCGTGTAGTTGTAGTTTATTAGTAAAAATTCCATAAAATCAATGTTGCCCCTCTATTACGTAGTGAAAATATTCGGCGCGATCACCGGCATAGTCTGTTATCAAATTCCTAAGTGTTTTGTCCTGTATCCCATTATTATTAAAGTATTCAAAACACGTATAATTCTGCATCCCGAAGCTAATTTCGAATTGATGATAGCTTTAATATAGTAAATTTTCAAAAAAGGTATCGCTGAATAGAAAACTCTTCATACCTACGGACGTGCGTACGCTGAAGTGTTGTTTGAAATAGCAGATACGGAGAATCGACGATGGGTATTGTATTCTATCAAAAACGCATTATATATTGATTTTTTAAGCATCTTTTGGCATGCTCTTGAATTCATAGGGAACAATACTAACCTGTACAAGCGAAGTGATATCGCTGAGCTTAAACTTTGACTCCACAATCGCTTGGCAAATTTCCGAGATGTACTTTGACAGATTAAGTGATCGAATGTCATTGAGAACCGATAATTGTTGAGCTTCGCTGAAGGTTTTCTGTAGAATAGAGCCACGACACTTTATACTAGGCACTCAACGTACAGAATATTGTAGTAATAAAAAAAAAATAGTGTACAAGGTTAGACCATACATTTCGTGTAAATATCAGTGTAAAATAAAAATACAATGTTTATTCCTCATTGATTTAACCAGACTGTGTTAAATTCTCTGCATCAAAAGAAATTGGTTCCATTGTCCTTCACTGTCAACGAGCATTCGCAAATAATAAAAATGAACTCGAAAGAACATACTTCATAAGTAAGATTCTGTATAGTATTGAGTTGGAACCCTGGTTGCTGCCATTAACCATTTAATAGTAATTTCCTTAACAGGCAAAAGAGAATCTGACGATCCTTTTTATGTTTCGGTTTCGATTTTGTATGGTCTTCATTTTCGACTCACGTTAGTGTGACGCCATTTTTTATCATACTTTTAAAAAAAAAATCGAATTTTATACAACACATTTTCTAGTGGTGCTGCTAAATCTAATTATTTTTAGCTTAGCTTCTGCTAATCTTTTAAAACAGTAATATTTGGCTATATCTCACTTAAAAAAAAGCAATCAAAATCAAGTAGAAAATTAAAATTACGCACAATTTTTCGTACAAACGCCGTATTTTTCTTAAGGCTGGAGTCTCTGAGTGCCAGAGCATTTTCGGTAGCGCGAACCGGAGCCAAATTTTCCCGCCGCAGCTCGGATCGAATCCCTCCAAACGTTTTGCCTACACATTAAGGTTGTTGAGGATAAATTTAATTATGTGTCTACTAGTGAAATATTTGAAAAGTATAAAGGAGATTGCCATGATGAAAGAATAAGCGAAGGAAGGCCTACGGAACGTAAACACCGCCTGGTCAGTCTCAACAGGCTCTACAACAGAAAATGTTTACACGACGGACCATAATCCGCCATCTGCTCTGTGGTCGAAGACAACGCCTAACGTGCCAGAATTCACGAAGTAATATTGGCAAGGTAAAAGTAAATTACGATGTCAACTTTAAACTGTTAGTTTATTCTTTTACGATGCGTGCTGTACAGAAATGCACTGATAGATAAATCCAAGTACACTGTTGCTTGTCTTCGGGAGTCTTTAAGCCCGTGTTTTCAACTTTTTATCATATTATTTTGCTATTGAACGCATAATTTTCTGCTGAAGTTGAGTACCAATATAACACGAAATTCACCTTTGTCATCAGCCATTTTCGAGTTCTTTCACAAATTGACACATGAAGATCCTCTATCCAAATGTCATTTTAATCCTTGTAAAGTTGCACTGATAGCGAAGATTGCATTTTGCACCAAAGTTGCACTGAGACACTTTCAATGGACGAGAGCAAACGCAGATACCTGCTCAAAATCGCTGGCTGACTTCACTCGTGAATTCAAACAGTCAAGACTTGTGTAGATTTAAAGATTGACACACGCTCCGTCGATTAGCGGCAAACCCGCGGAAGTCCTAAAACCTGAAGGTTAATCTGGAATTGTGCCAATCCCTTTGCTGTCAATATTTTTATGTCGGGGCACTTTACATAACTTCCGTTCTCTTTCAAATTACAATTATTGAGCTATAATGCGATCGCTAGTGTTCTCAGCTGTATTTAATATTGGTTATGCCAATTTTTCGAAAAATAAAAACAAATGAGTAGGCATCTTGTTTCCTGCGAGATGATCCACACAAACAATCAACACAGCGAGCAGCGCCTGCCGCCACAGCAAATCGTCTATTCCGAAATATTTACAAAGTGAGTTTGCGGAACCATCCATCGTGTTCGAGTGTCCGCGACACTGTTCTTTAGGAAATAAACACTCGGCGTGCGGATAGCTTCGGAGAATGGCAGTAGCCCCCACAATAGCATCTCTCTCAATGCTATTGCTGTCACCGGAGTGGAAATTTAGCAGCTATTTATATTGAAGTTTCGTCCCATCTTCTGAGTCCGCGCAAATCCGCTCTATACGCCGTGTCAGTAGTTCCACATTCGCTGGTGTCGTTATTGCACAATGGTGAGACATCGTGTACGATCGCCTGACCTGCGTCGCCGCAACCGACGGGTGAGTCTTGTAAGCTTTTCATTCCCGGCTTATCTCGAGTCTGAATCGACCTCGTTGAAATGCTTCATTCGTTGATATTTATGTTGCCATCTCGTAATTATGGTTGCGAGTATACAGTTTCTTTTATGGGGTTGCGTTTTTGGCCGTGTGGGAGACCTCTTATACGTTTGGGAAAAACGTTTACCTGATGCATGTTTTCATTGTTAATTATTAAAAAAATATCGACTAAGCGGTTTAATTTTACGTAAAATAGTAACTCTTCACTACTCTTAGTGACATAACAAAGTAGGCGCCATGACCGACGTAGACGTTTGTTATTTTCGGGCGAAAAATCGGGGAAACGACTTAACGTATTTGAGAGAGCCGGTATCTTACAACTTGAATGGCATTCAACACATTTGCTGCAGTAATCCATTGCCGGATAATTAGGACACTACGGTGGTGGGAGCTTAATTAGGACGTGGCTGAAACCTGCTACCGTTTGAAGTCCTCTATTGTGTTTTGCTTAGTTTTCTACCATGTTTCCTCTATTTAATATTTCTACTATGATTATCTATTGTGCATCAAAACAACCCAAGGGAAATAGAAATGTATGAAGAGTACTGTAGTACCGCCTTACATTGCCGAACAGTTTTCCGCAGGAAGTTTGGTTAAAGGAAATAAATGAGTAAATTCAATTTATAAGGTTCCTTTATTGGAAGATGACACACCAGGTACAGTACGGTGTTCTCAAAAGACCCCCAACAGTGGAATATTGCTCATTAAGCTTTTTATAATTCATAGGTCCCGCTGACATGGTTCACGGTGTCCAATAAAATCTGTTCACACATAGATGCCTGCCTAACCCTGGCAGCCTGTGATGACCATCGTAACACACAAATATGGTCCTGCTAGTCAAAGTAGTGTAAAAATCAATACTATCCTAGAGTTAGAAACAGGAGAACATAACCATTTAGAGAAGCTTCTAATGCGATTGAAGAATGCCGCTTAAAGTCCCACAACATCGTGGCAAAAACGTCCATAAATAAGATTTATATATTAACCTTTTTAAGAAAATATACATATTTATCTTCTAGGTAAGACAAATGGTTTGGACGGCGACCAATATAAGACATGGCATTTGTTGACTTAGCCCTTACGCTTTTAGGGTAATCGCCAGGAACTTGTGATTTTTTTTACGTATGGCGAATATTTATTTTGAAAATGCGCTAATTGTGAAATGTATATGTTGTTGTTGTCATCGTTGGTGAACACGAACGCAGGCGGATTCTTCAGACTCAGATGGCTATTTTCAAGCGCCTCTTGTAGTTAGACCGATGGAACTGCGGGTGTCCCCATTGCGCGAGGAAAGAGCATATAGAAGCCCGGACACGAAGGTAAGATAGCATCTGCTTAATAGTGAAATCTTACATTGAATCTGCCTTTGATTTTTCATCAGTCGGTTTTCATCGAGCACGTATGCACGTCGTATGCGGACCCCAGCCTTCGGAGCTCTAAGTGAAATTTCAAAACGTGGCTGAAAATTGCAAGACAGTGAAATGTGTATGACAAAGGCCTCAGTAACGAAATGTTTGATTTGGAAGCAAGCAAACTTATACGTTATTGTCTTGTCTATAATGATAACCACTTCCGAGCTCCACATTGGATTTCAAACCTACCGGTAGTTATTATAACGAGGCTTATATTGTAATTGGCGAATAGTGCACCTTGACATGTAGCAATGAATTTTGAGATTACATGCCCGATACTTCGTTTAGTGGATTCCCTGTAACTTATCACGAACGCGAGGATCACGAAATTTGAACGTTCTATCTGTTGCCGTTTCAGGAATATAAACACGCACACAAGAAGCGCCGGCCTCCGAGTTTGCCGCCTTCAGAGAGCTCAAGCGACGAGGAGGTCGAATCTGGCAGCCAAAGCGAGTAAGTATCGATAGTGATTATTATCGTATCGCTCTTGGGGGCAGTACAGCGGTAATAAGGTCGTTTTGCATTGTGGACCGGGCCCTATTTCTATATTTCTTTTTAGGGGGTACTCGGTACCCAGGTGGTTGCTACGGTAGCTAATACTTCTGCAGATGCCAAGGAATGGATCGTTGTGTATTACAGCCTAATCTTAAGTATGTCTAGGCATTACCTAGAATATTTTTAGGCCGACTTTCAATCCTGCGCTGATATTTTAACCTTATGAAGTATGATATATTGGGTATGTTATTAGGAAATATGTCTGTAGGTTTATTAGCACCCTAGTACGACTTATTTCCGTAGCATGGAACCTTCGTAGGATTAATATAATTATTATTGTTAATTATTGTTCCATACAGGGCTATTTTTATCACATAGTGCACGAAAAATATGTACAGTCATTTAGAAACTGGTTTTTCATAAGTAATGTGCCTATTATATTGAATGTCTTACTTCTCAGACGATTGCCTAAAGGGATTCATATCGAAATTAGTTATACATTTATAAAGACCTCACTGGCCTAGTGACTCCAAGCGCTTAAATGCAAACGATCGATCGGTATTCCCTGGGGAACAGTAAGTGAATCATATAAATTAGAAACATACGTTTATTAATTGGTACATATAATTTCTTTCGGTTTTCTTCATAAATCCGTTTTTGTGTTTCAGATCGAGTTCAGGCAGCGGCAGTTCGGAAAGCGAATCTGGCTCAGAGTCCGGTAGCGGCAGCGATGACGAAAGCGGATCCAATATGAGCGGTTCGAACAGTGGCTCTGAGAGCGGCAGTGAGAGCGGCAGTAGCGAAAACGAGAGTGAGTCAGGGGGATCCGATGATGAACGCAATGACAAAGGCAGCCGACGGCATCGAAACGAGCAACCCCGGCGCGTCAGTAAACATCGAAGTCGGTAGGCAGTCGAACAAGTGCAAGAGGTAGAAGGGGATGCGGTTGTTAGGTTATATCAAAGATATGCCATGCGCAGATAACCGGTGAGCTTCTGAGTTTCACATACCAGTAAAGACTCGGAATCGGAACTTAAAATAGTCTTTCGTTTTCTGGAAAAAAAAATTGCCCCTTTCATTAGGGGAAGAAATGAAAATGGGTATGAGGTCTAGTGCTTACGGGGCAGTGCAACAGTATGGTTAACATAGATCTTCGCTTGGTCTGGTAAGAAGCCGATTAAGAGTTATTGTCTTGCAGCTCATCGCAATTTATATGAGGCCTCCAACAGTAAGACTGCATTGGGCTTTTCTAGAAAGTACACTACTACCGTTATGTGCGCGTCATTTCGAAACAGGGTTTTGTCGGAAACTATGTTATGGAAAATAAAAAAAAAAGTGAAATTTGTTGGCTTTAGAGAATACTAGCATTTTGGTAGAATGTGTGAGGCTTGGAATAGATGGAAGTCCGCAAACGATTATATATTACCAGTAGAGTACAGCAAATCACATAATTAGGCATCCTTCCTAATTATTCTTCTATATACACCTTGTTCTCGACTCAAAAGTATTAAAAAAATACTTTTGCAGTGTGCTTATTAATTCAGTCTACTAAGAAACAAGCCTAACATTGTTATCCATGAAAATACGCAGATCGCCCGTGGAACGACGACTGTCACCTAGAAAGAAGAAAGCGCGTAATCGTCAGCCTTCGCCACCCAGAAAACGTGATAAAGAAAGGTATTTTGAAGTAAAATGGGCTCTAAATAGCTGAGCAACGCATATAACGGCAATATTGATGCTATTTTTTTCACTTTTCAGTAATTTTAGTGCTTGTAACGTAATCATTTTACGTTTGTCATCACCGTTTTAGGAGACGTAGTGGCTCACCACCTGCCCGTTCGCCAGAGAGGAGGCGACACAAGGAAAAGTTAGTACTTTGCCGTTTTTTTTTTTTACCTGTTGTGCTGTTTTCTACGTTCGTCACCAAATCTGTTTAAAACGGTGCTTTTCTGTCAATTGTCAGATTGGTTTCTAGTGTTCTCTACATTACATAAATTAGCATAGGTTCATTAACAAAAATGTAAGGTACGAATGTTTCGACTTACTTTGGAAATATCTATGTCCTGTATACGTAAAGATATTATTATTATCTTAAAACCTTCTTTATGCCTACAAATATTCTTACAGGATTACGACGAACGTTCATTCGTTTAAGGATGTTGGCTTCTTCAATCCTAAAGTTTGTTCTGAAATTGTTTGAAAAAGTCCTGAAAATGATTAGCTGTGCAATCATTGGAATACATAGGCCATAGAAACACGCTTGTTTAGGGTTTCCTTTCAACCGTATTAGGCGAGTTACGTTACGTTTCTGTGATGGCATTGTGGGTAACATATATGCGTGAAAATCTTGAGGGACACGTAGTGGTCTGGGGTCTCGTAAATGCGCCTTGTTTCGTGCTGTTCTCTAGCTATCAGATAAAATGCCTAACGGGGTACCGGACGTACGACTCAGATCATTCGCCTTTAAAGATCGTGCATACCATCTTTGAACGTGCAGGCGAAAACGTATAACACCCATGATTTTATTCACATGCGTGTCTTTATGAATGTAGCAGGAGAAAACGGAGTGTTTCTGCAGAACGCCATCGATTACGCTTCTCTAGCCCAAACGGTCACCGTAAGAAGACATCATCGCCGAATCGCCGAAGTTCACACATGGCATCTCGAAGAGACCGTAGACGATCGAGGGACCGACGAAAAAGCCCTCCGAGGTAACACTACGTAGCCACTAGTGTCTTCACTTCATTAAATTTTTATTTTTATTTTTATATCTCTAATTGTGAATTAGATAACTCTAACTGAAAACAAATAACAAGAAACCATAGATCATGAACAGCGTGAGTCAATTATAATGTAGTCGTTGATTTTATTATTACAATTTTTGTGTAACTTGCAAGTAATAGACGAGGGGTGGCTTTCAATAGTTCTTGGAATTTTGTTTTTTCGTTAAGAATATTTTAGCAATTATAATATTACATTACAGAGAGAGAGCATTTTGTACTGAATTTTAAAATGTCTTAAGCTGAAATGGTTATATAATACATAAAATAGAGTTGAATTTGCCATACTATGAAGTAAGTACTGTTGAAAAAAAAAAGAAAGAACACCATATCTGAATATCTAACCTTTCCTTGCTCTGTTTTGAAAATCAAAGTTGACCAGAAGACTAATCAGCTTTTTCCCGGTACTTATTATATTTGCCTATAGTTAAAATGTAAATAACTATCCAACTGCCAGTAACGAATCAAAATTCATAAATTTCAGCCGTGTGTATTTCATTTAACAGAAGGTGGTTAATACATAAGCAATTTAAATATTAGACTGGGCAATATGTTGCCGTTTCCAACAGCTTTCCTTTCCTACTTCCTTTCGTTTATTGGTTAATTTGACACATCATTCAAAAGCGCTTTTTCTGCTCTTTTAGCGTGCTACAATGGTCGTGCGTTGTGAACACTTTTCTAGCCTAACCGAATTTTTCAAAGATGTATATTCCGTCTAGTAAAAGAGTGCACTTTATGTGTTATACATTTCTTAAACATTGACGAAACAGCTTGGTAAATTTGCCTTGTGTGAGACTAATTTGCTAAGTATGGAAACGGTATCCGAAACTTACAGGATATGCGCTGCTCTAGTCAACCTTTTGGGTTTGACGATGATCATCTGAAGGCACTTTTGACAAACAATTCTTGGATCATCAGCTACAAAAGCATCGTTAACCGTTTTAATTAAAATTTAAGTAAAAACACCTTACCCTTATTCTAGTCCCTTTCGTTTATACAAAGACTTAGAACTTATGTATCCCATAAACTTTCTGAATCTAATAAAACATTACGGTTTAATGTTGCATTTTAACTTCTCACTTGTTGTCGAGCAAGATTCGGCCAGAATAATCAATTTCATGCATAGAATCGTCACAGGTGATGAGGAGTGGTGTTTATACGTCAATATTAACCGAAGATTGGAATGGGTAGCTTCAGGAAAGAAGCGAAAGCCTGGGGCCCAATTAGATCCTCATTTTAAAAAAGACTACGCCTCAAGTCTGCAGGAACCGAAAGTGCTTGATTTATTCGAAGTTGCTTCCTATGATCTAGACAGTGGATCGGCACATTAATTTAGTCTAGCTGTATTGAATAAGCCAGGCTTCTCAAAAATAAAAAACCCTACCAACGAGGTCAAACTGTTCTGCTCTATGACAACGCGAGGCCACACGCGGCACATACTCTCAAGCTGCTCTTTCAAATTCCAAATAAAGAGCCTTGCTTTTCTACGTTGGTTGACAGTTCCTTGCTTTTTTCGTTTATTGGGCAATCACTATTAGAGCTTTAATTCAAAACGTGGTTGGAAATCCACTACTGTCTAGCAAAATAACGTATATCATTTAATCGCAAGACGAGGAAAAGTCGTGTACGATGACGGGGAATATATAACATAATCTATTCACACAGGCATAAAAATAACAAAATGAAATATCAAAACATTTCAGGAGACAAAGCGATAAAAACCGAAGACGTGGTAGCAGCATGGAACGAAAACGGTCGTCGCCTTCATCCAGGCGTCGTGGCGATAGGGATCGTGGAGAAAGCCCTCGGCGACGAAAAGGTTCGCTGTCACGGCGAGAACCTAGAGACAGTTCACCTAAGCGAAGTCGAGCAGCTTCACCTCACCGGGCTTCGCGAAAGGAATCTCCTAGACGAAGGTCCTCGCCGCTATCACGAGATCGAGACGACTCGAGAGAAAAAGGCAAAGGAGGTCACAGGGATCGTCGGGAGGGGCGAAGATCATCGCCGAGGAGCGGCCGAGGAGACGATGATAAAAAAAATGAGAGAAAAAGCGATGCCGGTGCAGATGAGGTCAAGAAAACTAATAAGGATGCGCCAAGCAGAGGGTCGCAAAACGAAAAAAGCGACGACACTCGCGGACGAAACGGAAAGAAACCGGATAGCGATGAAAAGAAAGTGGAGGAGTCCCGCGATAGCGGGCGCACAAAGTTCAAGCAAGAAAAAGTTTCGCCAATTCACGTCACCAAGGTGAATGCGTATGAATATTTGTCAATTTGTGTAATTGGCGTAAGTATTGTGGAAAATCCTGTTACGTTCTTCATATACCAACCATTACAAAAAACCCACTTAGTAATTGTATCATTGCGCAAATACGAACGACGCATCGCGCTCAAAAACCTACCCCAAATATGCGTAAAATATGATATGATTTGAGATAGTTCGGTTATTAATGGAATAAGGTTGAGTTACGTATGCTAAACATTACGTTTCAATTCTAGGTAAAGGATGAGCCCGCCACACCTGAGCGTTCTAAATGGGAAGATACAGATGCGGACAAGTCATTGCATGGTGTTAAACGAAGTGCCGGCGACGATGGTGACCGACCAAAAGGCGGGAAAAGGGCGCGAGGTCGCGCTGACGACAAACGAAAAAATCGTGCTACAGAAGAACCGGACGATAAATTCGAATGGGGCAAATCAGAAGATAATGTCAAACCTGAAGGCGAGGTAAAGGTCAATTTTTTGCCGGACTAGGGGTGTATTGAATTTTAAGAAACCATTTTCATCACTGGCTGCTTAGCATAGGAGTATATGGTGACGTGGTATTCATAATTCAGGTAAATTCGGTAGCGGGAATAGGCACAGTTAATTTTGAGCAGCTGTGTCAAATAATAGCGTGTTTACAACAGTATTTATATGCAAAACTCAAAATATAAATATTTTTCTATTGGTTCTACCAAATGACTGAACAGTTGTTTACCAAGCAGTGAACGTTAGAGAGCCTGAGGTAAAAATCTTTCTCCTAGAGTATCCAAAAGCATGCTTTTGTGGAGCAGTCTAAGTGTTTTATGATGGGCCTTTCGGAAATACTCGAACTACCAAAGGTGAATATTAGTTAAATATTAGGTAAGAGCTGATATTCTACTAAAGATTGGTATCCTTCCGAGATCCGTCTTATCGGCACGCAGGCCCCGAACAACGAGCTGCCAAGGTATAAGAGGCTGCGGAACAATATTGGTTTTCGCCGGGCCTCTGACTCTCACTTCCCTAATCTGGTCGTAATCCAGATGTTAAGGGGCATCCTCGAAATAGAGAATTCACCCCAGTATGTGAGGATGTAGTCTTAAAATAGCGATGTATTTCTATAAAATATGTTTGTAAGGGAATACTATATTCTAGTAATACGTATGTTACATAGACTCATTATCGTCATGAAAAACACTTCTAACATGCTTAGTTTACTTCTACTTACGTTACCGTACTTGCGTTTTAGTTAAAACCTGAAGATAAGAAAAAGGCAGATCTAGGATTGTCGGGTAAACTCGCCGAAGATACAAACGTATTTAATGGAGTGGTCGTGAAATACAATGAACCACCTGAAGCAAAAAAACCAAAGCGACGATGGCGTCTCTATGTGTTCAAGGGAGAAGAAAGTTTACCCTTCATACCATTGCACAGGTATACGTGAATTATTCAAACCTACATGAATTGTTAATCAACAGTTGCAAACACACTGCTTTGATTGAAATTCTATCAAATAGCCCGGATTATTTTGTGCCTACTTACTAGCTAGATATAATTGTGAGCTTATAGAAGAAATCAAATATTTATCCCCTAAATATTGTGGTTTAGTGTATATGTATACATATTTAGTATATACGTATACAGCGTATAAATCTTTCGATTTTTACGAGACTTCCCTCAGGGCACAGTCGGTAGAGTCTCTGACCAGTGCATATACTATACGCTTATAATTAATATCGTATTATTTTCGAAAGTTGTGATATTCAATTAAGTGCATATGACGGTAGTTTTTAGTTAAAGTACTACCATATAAATCTGGATTGTTGTTTCGTGGAAACCTAATAAAATTATATTTCTCATGCACCTTCGTGTATCGTATTGCAAACAGACAAAGCGCTTACCTTATCGGACGTGACCGTAAAGTAGCGGACATCCCTATCGATCATCCCTCATGTTCCAAACAGCACGCTGTTCTCCAATACCGATCTGTAGCTTACGAAAGACCGGACGGGTCTACGGGCCGCAGAGTGCGTCCCTACGTCATTGATCTCGAGTCTGCCAACGGGACATTCGTCAACAATAAAAGGTGGGGAAAAATCACATCGTATGTGAAAATAACTAGTCAGGTTTTGTGTTAGATGATTTTTGTACATACGTCTCAAACCTTTTCTGAGCAAAATTCGCTAAACGCTTCTTGTCTGTGATGCATTTTTTTGCATTTCTTACAGCCAATCATAATATGAAAATACCACTAATGCGGTATTATGTCAAGAAGTATTAAAGATAGTACATTTAAATTTGGTGTTGTAAAACTGGCGTCAAAAACGGCGACAGTGAAAAATCGGCTTGTTTAATCTTAATCGTAATGCTTTATCGGGCTTTCACAAACGAAAACATGCAATGTCTTACATAAGCGTACTATAGTTACGACCAAAACTTATGTAGAGGATATATTACATATCTCGGCTTGTTTCAGAATCGATGCTCGGCGATTTGTGGAATTATTTGAGCAAGACGTCATCAAATTTGGGTTTAGTAGTCGGGAGTATGTTATTTTGCCGGAGGATGCCGCCGAAACCGGACAAAAGGAAGACGGTGCTCAAGAAACTGCACAAGAACCTGTGGGACCTTAGATATCGTATATCTAAATGGTTCTATAT